CTGAATTGGATAAGAGTTTGGTTTTTCAAAAAACTGCCTCTTTAATTTGGATTTCATTTGAAAAGGGAGTTAACTTGCTCCAAATTCTGAAAGGACAAAAAACGAAAAAGAAAAATGATCATTTTAGGATATGATATTTTAAAATTTTGTCAACCCACTAAGTTGGAGGGTGAGAGAAAAGAGGGGAGAAAAGTATATGGTACTTCAAGTCATTTCTTAAGAAAAAAATACTTTTTACTCCCAGCATTAAGTGAAGAGGAGGAAGGAGTGTGCCTACAATTCAGCATAGAGTGAGCCATTTCATTTCAAGGATCTTCTGGAAATGAGCTTCCAGAATAGCTTCATCATATAACTTGAGATGCTGAGATGCTGTGAGCTCCCAATAATTTCAATATCCCATGGTCAGCCCATGCCCAATTTATAGAGGAAAATTTAGGCTTTGTAATCAATTTTTACTTTTCTATGTACTTGTTTCTTTCCTCTGTTAGTGCAGAAATCAAGGGCCATTTACTATTTCAGTCTTGAAGATCCACACACACACACACACACACACACACACAAAAGACATTCAAACTCAGAAGCTGGGACAAGCCAAAGAAGCGCAGAAGGAGTGCATTATAAGAGGGGTGGTGGCAGAGGAAGGAAATGAGGCCTGGAGGGACATCTGGCAATGGAGGGATAGGGTGGCTAAAGCAGCTCTGGCTCCCCAGGCTCTGGGTTCTGAGACAGCTCCAGTGGCCCTGCCTCTTGTACAGCCAGGTCTTCACCTCAGTGGGATCCCCACCAAGAGATCCAGATCTTTATGGCAGCCGTGTTGCCTCCTTTCTTGGGTGTGTCTCTCCGTTCTTGTTGCTTTTGTCTTTGGTTACTTTCCAGACCAAGATGAGTAGAGTGACCAGAGTCATCAGGGGTGTAAAGAAGAAGAGAACGTTTACCAGGTAAGCAGGATTAGATACGGCAGTGGTGAGGGTACCCTTGTCCCATAAGAAAGCTGGAAGTTGTGGGGAGGACATAAGCTTCCAGAAAGAGCTGAGATAGATACATGGTGCAAGCCAACTGCCCACACCACCAAGAAAACACCAAGAGAATTGGGCTTGCTCTTGTTATATCCCAGGAGTGGATGTGGTACAGCGACCAAACATCTACTGATTCCGTTCCTCACATGGGGCTATTCTCCTTCGGATGTAATGGAGAAGGCATAGACGTTTGCTCAGCGAGGCCAAACAACTGCTTCCAATACAAACACAGATGATAGTTCTGTTAGCAAAACTTCCGGGTGGTCGGTGGGGCTTCTGGGGCTTGGTGATGTCACTGGAGGGTGAGGGTGAGACTAGGGTCTGAACCAAAGGTTCTAGTCCAGAAACCTGTGCTCTCTGAGCACGGTCTCCCCTCACGTATTGCCTCCAGATTGAAAAGGGGGTTCCCCAGTTGCCTGTGATGATGCCCCTTCAGTTCTCTTTTATTCTTTTTTTTGGTCCTCTTTTTGAAAACCTTTTTGATTTTAAAATAATTTTAGACATACAGGAAGTTGCAAAGATCCTAAGAAGATGTCCTGTGTACTCTTCACCTAATGTTGCCCTGTAGTACACAATCAAAACCAGTGAATTGACATTGGTACAATGTGTAGTCTATGCCGTTTTATCATACCTGTAGATTCTTGCAGCCACCGCTGCAATCAAGATAACAGAACTATTTTATCACCACAAAGATCTGGCCGGTTGCGGTGGCTCATGCCTGCAATGCCAGCACTTTGGCGGTGGAGGTTGGCAGATCACCTGAGGTCAGAAGTTTGAGACCCGTCTGGCCAACATGGTGAAACCCCATCTCTACTAAAAATACAAAAAAATTAGCCAGACATGATGGTGGGCGCCTGTAATCCCAGCTACTCGGGAGGCTAAGGCAGGGGAATTGCTTAAACCAGGGAGGTGGAGGTTGCAGTGAACCAAGATGGGGCCACTGCACTCCTGGGGAACAGAGTGAGACTCCGTTTCAAAAAAAAAAAAAAAAAAAGATCTGCTGATGTCCATATTCTATCACTTCAATACAAAAGTAGAAACCTTACCTTCTTGTAAGTCCCTTGTTTTTCCACTTATGATAGTAATTGTGTTAAATATTTCATCTATATACATTGAGATCTGCATTCAAGCTATGTTATACTTTTTGCTTCAGCCATCAAACAATTTAGAAAACTCAAGAAGATAAGGAAAGTCTGTGTATTTACACAATTTAAAGTTCTTCAGCTCGGGTCATTTCATTTTCTCTTTTTTCTTTGATGAAGTCTGGCTCTTCTCCCCCAGGCTGGAGTGCGGTGGCCTAATCTCGGCTTACTGCAACCTCCACCTCCTGGGTTCAAGGGACTCTCCTGCCTCAGCAGCCTCCGGAGTGGCTGGAATTACAGGCGCACGCCAACATGCCCGACTAATATTTGTATTTTTAGTAGAGATGGGGTTTCATCATATTGGCCAGGCTGGTCTCGAACTCCTGACCTCAAGTGATCCGCCTGCCTAGGCCTCCCAAAGTGCTGTGATTACAGGCGTGAGCCACCATGCTCAGCTAGGGTCATTTCTACAGTTGTATTTTCAAGTTCATGGATTCTTTTCTCTGTGCCCTTTGTTCTGCGATTGAACTCATCCAATTAGGTTTTTTTATTTTGGTGGTTATATTTTTCAGTTCTAAAATTTCCATTTAGCTTCTAGTCAATAAGATTTTATATTTTTGTGCCAAGTGTATTCATATCTTTGTCAGATAATTCCAATATCTGTGTCATCTCGGTGTTGCCATCTGCTGATTTTTTTTTTTTTTCGTTCAAGTTGAGATTTTCCTGGTTCTTGGTATGATGTGTGATTTTTTAATTGCACACTGGACATTTTGGGTGTTATGAGACTCTGGATCTTACTTGAATCTGTTTTAGCAGGCTTCCTCTGACTCCATGCCTGTTAGGGGAGGGGGTTTCATTTTGCTAATGCCAAGCAAGGGTGAAGGTCCAAGTTCCCCATTTAGCCTCCTTTGACTACCCAGAGTGGGGAAAAAGGTGCTTTACTGGTGGATATGGGATTCCAGACTTCCCAGATGGCCTCCTCTGACTTCGCCCTGGCAGGGTTGGAAGGGTGCCTTGTTACTGCTGCTGGATAGAGAGCTCATTACCTCTTGATAGGGATGAAAGTCCCAGCTTCCCACTCCATATTGTCTGATAACACCCTGGTGAGGGATGGAGTCTGGGGAGGGTACCTCCTTACAGCTAATTAAAGGTGGAAGTTTAGGCTCCCCACTTGGCCTTTGCTAATAGGGGCAGTGGTGGGGCTGTGATTTTTTTCCATGGTGTTTGGCTAGAGTAGGGCAGCTGTTCTCTAAAAGTTTCTGCCTTCCTGAATTGCCTTCCTAGTGCTTTGGCTGAAGAGAACAAGCAGGCTTTTCTTGGGACCTTATTTTGTGCATGCTCTTTGGCATTTCTGGGCTGCTTCTCTAGCACGTAGTTCAGGATATGCAAGATAAACAGAAAATCCTCGAACTCACTACCATTCAATTCTTGGGTTCCAAAATCAAGGTTCCAAGGTTGCTAGTCAGTCTGCTGCTTTTTCCACACATTTCCGTCTTTTTATGTTAGTTTTATGTATAATGTCCAGGGGTTTTAGCTGTGTTTAGTTTAGCAGGAGGAATGGGAAGAAGTGAATCTACTCCAAGTACATCCACTCTTCTTTGTGTAGAACCCCTTGGTGCTATACCAAGGGTCAGGCAAATGATGGCAGTGCGGGAGTCACAGGACTTGAAGTCCAAGGACTCAGATCAGAGTCTGGGCACTAGTACTTTACATGCTAGTGACCTTGGTTAGGTCATTTAGTGTCTCTGAGCCTCCATTTACTCATCAGAAATGGAATTATGGTGATAATACTGAATTTATAGGTTTTTATGAGAATAAAATGAGATGATAAATACATAATAACTTTCAAACCATAAAATTCCATACAAGTGTAAGTTATTTTAAATACGATCTAGGATGGAGGTGAAGAGAAGTGAAGAAGGGGTATCTGGGAAAAATAAGGTAGTTCAATTTTTCTCAAGTCAGTTCCCTCACTCTCTTATAACATGCAAAGATCTACAAGTAAATTGCCCCCCACCCCCAATTCCAAGATCTCTATATCAATTCCCTAGAGCATGGAAATGGCAAAATATGTGATTAAATTAAGGATCTTGAGAGGAGGACTTTATCCTAGATGATCCAGGTAGGGCCTAAATACAATCACATGTATCCTTCTAAGAGAAAGGAGAAAGGAGTTTTGAGAGAGACAGAACACAAAGGAGAAGAAGACAGAGCAGACCGAGAGATGTGGCCACGAGCCAAGAATGACAACCATCACCAAAAACTGGGAGGGGCAAGGAGTGGATTCTCCCCTATAGCCTCCCTCCAGAGGTATTTACATCTTGATTTCAGACTTTTTGCCTTCAGAGCTGTGGGAGAATGAATTTCTGTTGCCTTGAACCACCAAATTTGTGGCAATCTGTTATGGCAGCCCCAGGAAGTTAATACGGGAACCTTAGAGAGGTCATCTATTCCCACTCCTTCACCTAAGAGATGAAGAAACTGAAGCATAAAGAAGGGAAGTGACTAAAGTCACACAATTATTGGCACACTAACAGGATCTTGCTCTATTGCCCAGGCTGGAGTGCCGTGGCATGGCCTCAACCTTCTAGGTTCAGGTGATCCTCCCACCTCAGCTTCCCTCGTAGCTGGGACTGCAGGTGCATGCCATCATACCTACAGGTAGCACCACCACACCTGGCTTTTTTTTTTTTTTTTTTTTTTCTGTATTTTTTGCAGAGACGAAGTTTCACCATGTTGCCCAGGCTGGTCTTAAACTCCTGGGCTCAAGCTATCTGCCCACCTCAGCCTCCCAAAGTGTTGGTATTACAGGTGTGAGCCACTGTGCCCAGTCTGTGTCTTCTTTTTAAAACATCTTTATTGAGATATATAATTCACATACCACACAATTCATCCATTTAACGTGTACAATTCAATGTTTTTTGTTATATCCAGGGAGTTATTAAAACATTGCTATAATCTTATTTTGGAATATTTTCACCACCTACCCCAAGAAGCTCCATACTTGTTAGCAGTTTTGTCTGAGTCCTTTCTGGTTCCCTGTTTCAGGCATATTGATTTCTTCTCCCCAACCAGACTTGACTTTGCAGTGCCTTGTCTTTTGTATTCCTCTCTCATTCCCTAGTCAGCTGCTTCTCATGAGGCCATGGTTTGACTGGTCGCCCCAGACTCCCTTTAGACGAGGAGTTCATCATTCTTTCCGGCTGGCACTGAGGATTCTTTGATGGGGCTCTGGCCCTGGCAGTTGGCCTGCTGACCTGTGGGAAAACCCTACAACACATCATCCCCTGAACCAACCGTCAAAGAGATCAAGGTTCACTTGTTCTTCATTTATGTCTAAAGAGATAGAGTCTGGAAACTGAGTCACACTGAAGGGCCAGACAGCTTTGGTTCCCTCTAGTATCTTCAGAGCAAGCTCCACTGGCTCACCCACAACTCCACTGAGGAAAAGCTGACCACTGGTGAGGGCTGGCTGGCACCTCTGGATGACCCAGAGGGCTGTATCTGGAAGCCTAAGTAGAAAAAAAGAAATAGAACATGCCATTGGGGGAACACTTGCTCTACATTTCTGGTGTTTTCTTTCTTGGGGCAGAAACCCTATTAAACAAACAAACACTCCTGGCCTCTCTAGGCTCTGGCTGTCACTCTTGGCCCCAGGATGCAGAAAGCACCCCATGCACCTGCTGCTTTTTGTATATTTCCCAGGGGCATGTCCCCAGGAGTGAGAGGCCCGTGTTTTTCATTGATAATTATGTTGGGTGGTGAGTCAGTCCACCATGGTTTTTTTTTTTTAATCAGTATAGGGGAGTTTTCCCCTCTGCCTCATTTCTTTGTCTCCACTGGTCCAAAACTTGGACGAGAAAAAGAGACACGTTATATATTAAGGTGGAAAACGGAAACATTATGTACCAACCACTTAAACGTCAAATACCTGAGTCCTCCATGGACTCTGAACCAGGCCCTGAGTTTTCTCACCTTGATGATGGCAACAGAGTTCCAAGAGCCTCCCAGCTTCCAGGGTCTCTCATCCCTTGAGAGCATTTAGTTTAAATTTCTAATGTGGAAGAGAAGAGATTAAAGTTTACCGAACCTCCACTAAGATGATTTTCTAGGTGCTTTGACATGGTGTTTTATTTAGAACAACAACTCTGAGAGATGGTAACAGCAATAATTTATTGCATTCTTTCTTTCTTTTCTTTTCTTTTTTTTTTTTTTTTAAGACGGAGTTTCACTCTTGTTGCCCAGGCTGCAGTGCAATGACATGATCTCGGCTCACTGCAACCTCAGGCTCCCTGGTTCAAGCGATTCTCCTGCCTCAGCCTCCTGCATAGCTGTGATCACAGGTGCCCACCACCACTCCTGACCAGTTTTTGTATTTTTAGTAGAGAAGGGGTTTCACCATGTTGGTCAGGCTGGTCTTGAACTCCTAACCTTAGGTGATCCACCTGCCTCGGCCTCCCAAAGTGTTGGGATTACAGGCGTGAGCCACCGGCATTATTTCTTTTCTTACGCTAGTTACTGGGCTGTTATACCTGCATCAGCTTGCTTTGTTCTCTCAGCTAACTGAGGCTCGATGAGACTGAGTAATTTGCTCAAGGTCATGCAGAAATTAGTGCTAGAATCAAGCATTTAATTTAGGATTAAAAAAAAATTTTCCAGCACAGTGCTTTTTTTATTCTCATGCTTCTTCTGTTGTAGTACTGTTCATATATCTCTGAGAAATCTAGAGTCATTAGCTTTTTATCTAATTTTTATTAAAAAATTTTTAAATAAAAATAATGTATTTTTAAGGTGTATAACATAGTTCTTTAATATAGATACATAGTGAAATGAGTACCACCATCAAGCAAATTAACATGTCCACTTCCCCACACAGTTATCTTTTTTTTTTTTTTTTTTTTTGAGACGGAGTCTCGCTGTGTCACCCAGGCTGGAGTGCAGTGGTACAATCTCGGCTCACTGCAATCTCCGCCTCCCAGGTTCACGCCATTCTCCTGCCTCAGCCTCCTGAGTAGCTGGGACTACAGCACTCGCCACCGCGCTCAGCTAATTTTTTGTATTTTTAGTAGAGACGGGGTTTCACCATGGTCTCAATCTCCTAACCTTGTGACCCGCCCACCTCGGCCTCCCAAAGTGCTGGATTACAGGCATGAGCCACTGTGCCCAGCCTTCTTTTTTTTTTTAAGTGGTGAGAGCCCATGAAATCTACTCTCTCAGCAATTTCCCAGTTTATAGTACAGTATTATCAACTATCACCAATGTATCTTGTATCATTGGAAACTCATTCTTAGGGGTTTGTAGTACCCTCTACTAATTACCTGTTCAACTACTTCAGCCAGTGGTTTGTGTTTGTTTGGTTGCTTTTGTTTGTTTGTTTTTTCAGACAAATTCTTGCTCTGTCGCCTAGGCTGAAGTGCAGTGGTGTGATCTCGGCTCGCTGCAACCCCTGACTCCTGGGTTCAAGCTATTCCCCTGCCTTAGCCTCCTGAGTATCTGGGACTATAGGCCTGCACCACCACACCCAGCTAATTTTTGTATTTTTAGCAGAGACAGGGTTTTACCATGTTGGCCAGGCTGGTCTCAAACTCCTGACTTGAAGTGATCCACCCGCTTCGGCCTCCCAAAGTGATGGGATTACAGGCATGAGCCACTGTGCTGGGCCACAGCCAGGGTTTTCACTTAACTCCCACATACCTCTTTGCCCTGCCTTCTTTCCTTTTTCTATCTCTGAAGAATTCCTCCCACCTGGGACACATCCCCTTCCTGTTCTTAAAGACAAAACTTAAAGAACAAGAAGGGAGTTGTCCCAGGTGGGAGCAATGAAGAAGTCAATGAAGACTGAGAAACTGCTTTCTGATCACCCTAAGTCAATGTTCTCCCAGTCCTCCAGGCTGTTCATTTGTTCTTTCATTAATTCATTAATTTAATTTATTTATCCCAAAACATTTATTGAGGTTTTTTTTTTTTGGTGCCAAGGAGAAAGAGCCAGGAGCTCTGAAAGAAGCAATGATAAATCAGAGGTGAAATTTTGGGGAGTTTAAATAATAGTATATGGCTGGGTTGTCAGGTTGAGGCAGGGATATCATAATCTTTCACTAGTGTAGGAGCACTTGAGGAATAAGGCAGCCCAACAAATATGTAGTGAATGCTACATTTTAAAAATTATTGCCAGCTGCGTGTACATTATCTCAGTGTCCAGAGTGTCCCTCCTTCCGGTTGTGGTCTGGGCCCCATCCCTTTGGCCTAAGGGATTCTTGCTTTCTCTCTTTCAGAGTCTCTCTCTCTCTCTCTCTCTCTCTCTCTCTGTTTTTCTCTCTTTCCTATGTTTGTAATGTCTTTCTTTCTGATGGCTGTTTCTCCTCAGCATGGAAATGTTAATATCCTTATTGTAATAATATTTTTGAGCACTTACTATATGCCAGGCAGAGATACCATATGTGGTTAGTCGAGTAATAACCCCCCAAGGATGTCCACATCCTAGTCCCCAGAACCTGTGAATATGTTACCTCATATAATAAAATGGACTCTGCTGATATGATTAAGGATCCTGAAACGAGGAGACTGTCCTGGATTATTTGGGTAGGCCCAGTGAAATCACAAGGTTCTTTAAAAAATCAGACATAAAGCAATGTGACAACAGAAGCAGAGAGAGGGAAGGGGTAGGGAGAGAGAGAGACAGATAGGAAGAAAGAGATTGGAAGATGGTAAACTGCTGGCTTTGAAGACTGATGAAGGATGCAAGCCAAGGAAATATAAGAAGACTCTAGAAGCTAGAAAAAGAAAGGAAATAGATTCTCCCCCAGAGTCTCCCAAAGAAATGCAGCCCTGCCAACCCATTTTAGAACTCCTGATCTCCAGAACTGTAAGGCAGTAAATCTGTATTATTTTAAGTCAATACGTTTGTAGTAATTTGTTACAGCAGCAATAGAAAACTAATACACCACGCTAAGTCTCTCTTATTTAAAAACCAAACCAGGCTAGGCGCAGTGGCTCACACCTGTAATCCCAGTACTTTGGGAGGCCGAGGCGGGTGGATCACCTGAGGTCAGGAGTTCGAGACCAGCCTCAACATGGAGAAACCCCATCTCTACTAAAAATACAAAATTAGGCGGGCATGGTGGTACATGCCTGTAATCCCAGCTACTCAGGAGGCTGAGGCAGGAGAATTGCTTGAACCTGGGAGGCGGAGGTTGTGGTGAGCCGAGATCGTGTCATTGCCCTCCAGCCTGAGCAAGAAGAGCAAAAGTCTGTCTCAAAAACAACAACAACAACAACAACAACAAAAACCAAACCAAAACATCAAACAAACAAACAACTGCCTTGCTCCTGTGTTCTATCTTACTTTCTATCAAAGCCAAGCTTCCTGAAAAGTGCTGCCTCTATCCCCTCCCTCCCACGTGCTCTGAAGCCCACTTCAACTTTTCTTCCATCTTTGCCACTCAATTTTTCCCAGGGCCAACAATAAACAACTTCATTCCATATATAAGAGCACTTTCCAATTCTACCTTGACATAGCAGAATTGACCAATTCCTCATTCTCTAAACCTCTTTCTCCTCTTTGCTTCAGTGGTGGCATGCCCACACAATTTTTCTCCTACTTCAGCTCCTCCTCTGCCTCCTGCCTCCAGTTGTCCTTCTGTGTGTTTGGTGTTTCCCTAGTGTCCACCTACAGTCTTTATCTTTTGAGATCCTCTCTGGGTTATCTCGTCCATTCTCATGGTCTCAGTGACAGCCTATGTTCCAATGGCTCTCTAATATGTATCTCTACTCAGATTTCACTCCTAACTCCAGACTCATAAAGGGAACATCCCATTGTCTTGTCTGGTTGAATCTTCCCACAAGCATCTGTAACCCATCACACCCAAACCCACCCTAATTATCTTCTCATTCAAATCTGCTTCTCCTCCATACCCTATCTCTAAAACAAAGAACGTGGGATTCGTGACTGCTCTTTCTTCCTGATTCTCTGCATTGATTCAGTTTCAATGTCCTGTCAATTCCACTTCTGAAACACCTCCCCATATGCATCTCTTCCTCCTTATCCTCACTGCTTCTATGTTAGTTCAAGCTTTCACTTCCTAGTCCTCAGCAGTTCTTTCCTGGGTCACCACAATAGTTTACCGATGGTCTTCTTACTTCTAGTAGTCTTATTCCCTTATCATATATACTATTCAGTGTTAAGGGAGTAATACACATAAATAAGTCAGGCCACTTCTCTTCTCAAAATCCATCACTTGGGTCCCTGTTGCCTTTAAGATAAGTCCAAATGCCACCACAGGGCTTATAAACTCTACATTCATGATATGTTTTTCTGTCCACTTCCTAGTCTCTTTTCCTGTCCTACTTTCTCAGGCATCTTATATTCCTTTACAAAAGACACCTTACATCAATAGCAAGTTCCAGGTAATGAACTGGTGAAGAGCAGTGGCTCTGGACTCAAACTTCTGGTTTGAGTCTCAGCTTCATCACTTATTAAGAAAATTGTGACTTTGTTCAATATATTTAGTTAGCCCCTCCACGCCTCAGTTTCCTCATATATGAAAGCGGGCGAAGGACCTATTTCAAAGAGTTGTGGTTGAGCTCTTAATGTAGCATCCATCCTAGGATAAGTGCTCATCAGGAGCTTATATCTATGATCACCTGGCTTCTGTACCTGGTGTTCACTCTGTCTGCAATTCTGCATCACCTCCCTCCACTCTACTCTGCTCGGTCAACCCCAACTTTAAGACTAAGCCAGTGTTGTTTTCCTTGGGAAACCTCCCCTGACCTCCACCACTTTCTGGCCATAAATGCATAACCCTATCATAGTGCTTAGTGCTGAAACTATTTGCCTCTTCTCACTAGATCCTGAGCAACTTGAGAGCAGGAATTATATCTTTAACTATCCACAGAAACTTGCATATAAATATTCTTCAATATATATTCATTGGGTGACCAGATGAGTGCAATATTCTGGATAAATTAATGTTTTATTTAATCTAGGAACATGATTTTTTTAGACAAAAATGCCGCCCCTATTTTAAAGAACAAAATAGATTATCCAGGGCAGATAAT